ACAGGGAACAGCACATTCACATAACATCCTCACCTAGCACCTAACTCATAGCTGTACCCTGCAGGATCTGTACTTGTTCATGTCTCAAGCATTAATAAAGCACTATAGTAGCTTAGTAATCATTTCCCACATTTTCTGAGCATCTAACATGACATACAGCAGTGCAGAGCAGCTTCAGAGAAGAAACACTTAAAATGCACAGACTCACACCAGCCACCCAATGAGCCAGTTCCTCAGTTGACTGTTTCCCTAGACACAGCTTGGAAATGTGAGCTAACTTTTGGCAAGTTGAAGGTTAGCAGGTAAGATTGAGTTAGGGTGAGTACCTACCTGGGTGCTACTGGGTGCTAACTGGGTGCTACTGCCATGCAGGTCTTGGGTAGGCTGCAAATATGTGTGATGATTGAGGTTAGGTCAGCTGTCAGGTTAGTCAGGTTCAGGTATGCTCATTGCTCAGGTCACATTTTTATGGACATTTGGCAAATTAAAAAACTAACAATCTGATCTAAGCTAACCGGACTAAACATACACAACTACTGACTATAGGATCTGAGCACCTACCTACTTGTGCCTACATCTCATACCATGTCAAAGTAGAGTTCCTTGGTGGAAGATTACCCTCAGTACTTTCTATCCCAGCCCTGTGAAGAAAACTAATACTTCTGAGCTCGGAGTCATTGCTGGCCATCCACAGGACGAAACGCTGAGACTGAGAGCTTTGCCATTGTATATTGGACCAATAATGACTATCACGAATGACTATGAACACATAATATGATCACATCGCTGCATGGATTGTAACATTGACAATTTTACTACAATCCTTTTTTCAGGAAATACAGTGATGATGATTAACATCAAAATCAACATAAAGTGGATTTAGTGATCCAAGCTTTCTCCTCCAGTAGCAATGGAATGATCACATGTTTCATTTGCCAGACACTGAGTACCTGATGCACGTTACAATCTGCATAGCATCTAAGCTTAGTAAAAACTGCCCAGGTCCATTCATTTTAGATTTTAACTTGAAAGTTAGCACTAATTTATCTTGCTTTTGTAAGTTATTATTCAATATTCATACCAATACATCAATATGCGCTCATCAGTCAACATTTTCTGGCATGATCCTGCTCAGCGTGCTCTTCAGTATTGCTCCAAGGTCTGCAATATTCTAGCTTGTTTTTGGACAATAAGCTCTTTAAATTTTACCTTTTCTTGCTGATATATGAGCCCGATCAACTTGCGTTTATCAACCAAAATTTCATAACTTGTTCAACTTGATATTGATATTGCTCAGTAGTCAGGACCTCTGTCAGCCTCTGGATATTTCAGATTGTTTTCAGTCAACATGCTTCTTGAATATGATATAAGTCAATCTTAAGGGATTCAAAACATCCAACAAAACGACGTACAAGAGCAAGAATACCACCAGATAAACTAAAAAATGGCCTTGGAACAGAGCCAAGTGGTGCTCCATTTGTTTGTTTACAATGATTGTAGTGCTGATGTATTTTTAGGACTCTGAACGTCGGCTTATAAAAAAATGTAACGTTTTTACAAAAGTTGTAAGGCAAGTAATATTTATCTGAAAGAACTAAAATATTAAAAAGCCAAACACTATGAAATACAAGAATCGGTACGAAAAAGTAACCCAAAAATCCAGCCTAATCACCGGCTCCTAAAACTGCAACACAATCAGCACTTTTCCCCGCAACTCGTTGTCCAGACGTAAATATGCAGCTGTGAGGTCATGTGACGTCATCAAAGGTCACCAAAGGTTTTTGGCCAATAACTCCGTACAGGAACAAGATACAGACGCGTGGATGGTCTCATTGTGTTCAGCTCGTCAAGACGCATCGAATGATATACATGATGACCTCGAGGTCACGTGACCTGAGGTCAACCTTTGACCTTGACCTTTCGAGGTCAACATATATATCATTCGATGCGGATTGACGAGAGGATCACGATGATGCCCTTAGTTTGTTCCTATCTTGACTAATCCGAAAGTTATTCGAGAAAAACTCTCTCCATATCTAGCGCCGCCATTTTGACTTTTTCGACCCCTGTGACGTCATCTTTGACCTGACCTGAAAATGACTTTAGTAAAAATTGTAGATCTTGACCGTGCGTATCCGATGCCGTTTACCGCTTGTCGCTATCTTGCTTCGTTCTCGAGATCTCAGGGGGGGGCGGTCATCCGCCCCCCCCGTCGGTACTAAGTTGGCGCAGACCCCCGTCGGTGCGCGGGTTAATATTTGTGTCCAAACATTACTTATCGATTCCGCATGTATATTTTCACGCGATAAGACGATGTAGATTCAACAAGAGAAAACAAGCGTCACCAATTCGATTGATAACGGTGGCCGCTTCCATATCAGTTCCTGTCAGGCGTAACCTCTGTCTAATGTTGGAATAGTTGTCATGTTTATACTCACGTCAATGTATCACGCTTACGATTCGTGGGTGATCCTCGTTTCCAATTGATAGAACTCTGCTTCGGGGATCACAATCGGAGCCGACGTCAAATTGTTTTTATGTGTGTGTCTGCGCGTGTGTATTAACCCGCGCGGGGCTGGGGTCTCCAGCCGAACGCGCGGGGCTGGGGGGGGGGGTAAATTTTATCCCCCCCTGTTATCTCCCGAACTAATGGTCCGATTTGGAAAATTCAAACGCCAATCGAAAGATCTCATCACGAACAACTAAAAACATGTACTTAATTTTAAGTTTTAGGTCAAGGTCAAGGTCAGGTCAAGGGTATAAATTGCAAGTTCCTACAGTATCGGCCTTGCACCGTAGTTGCCGAAGAATGGAGTCATGGACTGAGACTGATCGCCCAAAACGTGTTCTTAGGCTACCAAGACAATATTCGTTGCATACAATATCATTCAGAGGTCAAGGTCAAGGTCAGGTCAGGTCAGGTCAGGTCAGGTCACCAAAAATAAAATATAGAAAAGGGCATGTGCGACACATGTTTTATGGGTCATTTTACTCATAGAATTCAATAAGCACACTCAATAAGTGATATGGACCACCTTTGGATGAATTTCAGATCGAGGTCAGGTCAAGGTCAGGTCAAGTGAGGTCAAATTTTGAAGTTGGTTGTTAAGGCCTAAAAAGGTGTCTATCTGATGCAGTTTTTCACGGCGAATCGAATGGTGCTATTTTTGTTTCCGTACGAGGTCTAGAACTTCCAAAAATGTCATTTTTCAAAATTTTTGTGTTTCGTGACGTCATACAATTTTGAATAACTCCCACATTTTTGAACCTATTCGTCTTAAACTTGGTATGTAGGTGCACATAGACCACTTCTCTGACATATATTCCGTTTTTTTCGATACACTCAAAGTTTTGGATTTTATTATTATTTTCCCAAAAAAGTCAGTTTTTTGAAGAAAAAAATTGGGCAAAAATCCAAAATTTTCAAAAAACTGAGATAGCCATTTGATAGACAAAGGAAAATTACGTATATCCTTTTTTTTGTTACGTCTTGATTCCTTTAAAGATAAAGATGTTAGCGGCGTTTGAACTTTTGCCGTTTTTGAGGCGAAAATGGCGAACATGACGTCACTAAAACGTCAATTTCTCGAAAAATTTCCGAGGGATTTCGCTCAAATTTTCAGGGAACGTGTCAAATTGATGTAAGAAAAGGTACTGAAAGTTTGGCGGCGCTGCGCGCCGCTGTTTTTGAGATATTGCAAAAATTCGCGAGGGGGGTAAAATTTACCCCCCCAGCCCTGCGCGGGTTAAGTTTATCAACCTGTCTGTGTGCCTGTCTGTCTCTATCTTTCGCCCCTCTTTCTAGTTCGTCTTTCTTAGTTCTTCTGATTTGACTTTGACAATGAAACACGAAGAAGGCAATTGTATAGATAAACATCTTACTCTAAAATTTGACTTATTGAAACCAGATATATAACAAGAGCTACGATGATTTTTTGCGTGTTTAGATCAATGCTTTGAAAAGCTGCTATTACCAAGGAGTCTACCATGACAAGCCACGGAACAACTCAAAACCGAGTATTCCGGCTGGGAATCTACTCTCTCTGGGAAACAAACTGTGAGTCTCTGACCGACGGCCGTAGTAGGTACACATGCCCGAATGAACGCATGTCACCGATCGCCAAATAACGGCTCAAGTGCTGAAGAAGAAGTGGCTGAAAAGTAGTCACAGGTCACGGAGTGGTCGCCGCTGGGCGTGTTGTCGTGTGTTTGATCGCGAGTGATGATTTGCGCTATCAGTGGCATTCGCCGAATCATGGTGTTGGTCACCGATCGAACTAAGACAACACTCGAAATACGAGACAAGGGCCTCCTGCGGTCCGATACATCTTTTGTCGTCCACTAGTGATTGGTGACACGACGTTTCCTAAATTATCTCATTGCGTAATACCCTATGACAACGGTATGCCAAGTGCCTACTGAATGATGTGTCATGCCTAATAAAGGTCCAATTTTGTGTCACTAGTTGGTCAAAGTTCTGTGCTACGCGGTTCAGCAAAAGCGCGCATAAAAGGCACGTACAGTTTTTCTCATCATCGAACGATTTCGATTATCAACCTCCATTCCACACTCGATCTTTTGTTTTTCTTATCCTGGCAGAGCGTACCTATTTTGCTTTGCATTTCACAGCCCGGTTACAGCGTGTGGATGTGATTCATGAATGGATTTAGTAATGGTTTGGGGATTGGATTTTCGCATGCGTTACGACAGCATCTATAGGACCCTAAAATATAAACACGTTGATGGAAGAAAGCGGGAGGAGGGGTCGGAGTAACTTTCTGGCGGGCGCGCTCCAAATTTTATTTTCGATTTTTTAATCGTTCCAGTTTGAAGTTGACTGGTCGGCTTCCTTGCTAATGACAACGCGTTACCTTTCCAAATGTCCTTTTTAGTTTACTTAGGGCTTAGCCAGTACCTTACCTCCGTATGTTGCGACCCGTGCTTGTATGCCACTGGATTTCTTCTAGATCTACATACTTTGCCTTACACGCCCTGTGCCCATGGTTGTTTCAGCTCGGATTTGGCTGTACCGGGACCTGACCACACACCCGGTGCTCCAGTACATCGCCTGGGTCACTCTACCCATCAGCCTGATTCTCTTCTCAGCCGGTTTCGTACACATCGTCTCCAAATCGGCAGTCGGTGAGAGCCAAAAGTCTGCAGATCTGAAATCAGTAGGTAAAGGATATAGATCGCTGGCAAAAGCCCCTTAACCTTACCTACATTTGTTTGTAACTTTATCCACGTGTATCTACTTTTGTTTGGTTGTTTTGCGAGTTACCTGTTGTTTGACAATGATGTAGTCGGCTGTACCACAATAAAAAGTCAATTTGATGGCCCACAGTTCTTCTCCGTAATTACTTACCCCTGGTAACATTTGATCTCCTGATGTTGGCTTCTGTGTTCTTTCCGGCAGGGTCCGGCATTCCGGAGATGAAGACAATTTTGCGCGGCGTTCCTCTTGATGAATATCTCACGTTTCGCACGCTGGTGGCCAAAGTAGTGGGTCTGACAGCCTGTCTGGGCTCCGGAATACCGCTAGGAAAGGAGGTCAGTTTAACAAAGAGAAGAGGGGGAGAGGGGAGGGAGGAGTGGGAGTGGGAGTGAGAGTGGGAGTGGGAGTGTGTGGGAGTGGGAGTGGGAAAAATTAGACACTTTGATAACCTACTTACCGTGCTGTAGTTTTAAGTTTTTGCTCATCAGCCTGCAGCCAAAACTCTCTGCGTCGACTGTTCGACCTTCACAGTTACACAATCTGGTCTCTGGCAGCTTCTCCTGTTCTGCTGGCACTCGCCTGCGTCATCGCTCATGTCCGAAATCCTCCGGAGTCTTGTCTTTGGACACTGCAGCTCTGCGACACTCGGCGCCCACCTCTCCGAGATGCAGATTTATTGGCCAACGAAACGGCCGCTCTGTCGACGGGCATTTCGAGAAACGCGACAAAATATTCATGAAACCAGACCAAGCGGGACTCACGCTGTATCCCGAGGCCGCGTGCAAAGTTTGGCGGTCAGGGTGACGACATATGCTGGCCGGAATGACGTCATGTGGTGGCCTGGCCGGTTATCTAATTCGGTTGGTATTTTCGCCGGACGGTGACAACTTATTGCGCCCTCCTGACAACATAGTTCATCACAAAGACGAAGTACAGTAAATGCGCAGCTATCCGTAAATGTACCTGAAGCTTTTCTAGTGCTCTAGGCAGAGATATTGAAAGCAAAACCCGGCTAGTTTCGGCTCCTCTGTTCATGTGACTGGGTCATCTGCTGCCTGTTAAAATGTTAAAAAGTCGTATCAGCTAGCCTGTGGGTCTGGAAGATCATGATCGCCTGATGTGAGGCTCTATCGGTTGATATTGCTGGTCCGTGAAGAGGAACAGCCGTTCTTTTAGCGTTACCAGGCGGATCCACGTCCATATTTTGTGATGCTGAAAGCGTGACAAACTGGTGTCAAGGATCCTATTGAAAGCAAGAAAGGCCGGGCTTGGGAGAGTGTAAATACACAAAATAGTAGTGATTAGACACTGTATTAACTAGACATGACAACAAAAGTTTCGGCAAGTGATGATATTTTTTTGTAAATATGGATATTTGTTAGCGCTTACTGCTTCAATCATCATGCTTGGATAAGTGGAGAGCTCAACTAGTACATTTACGGATGGCGACATTTAAACTAACTAAAACTCTTAAAAAATGACGGATTAGACAATTGTTGATTCACAACTTGTCAGAATGTTACGGATGACGTTGTGTACTGTTCATTGTTTAATGCTCACTCTCGTTGAACATTGCAGTTCGCAAACAGAGCGCGCTAGAGGTGCGTTAGTGCGCCCACCAATCGATCCGAAACGCCTACACTGCTGCATCGGCTTCCCAGAACCTTAGAGTTCCATTAGCGTCCGGTCTTTTTGACATCCCGGATATCTTTTTCCTCGGCCGCCGGCGTTGCCCGGCTGCGCGCTCGGGGCCGAGATGTGAGTGGCGGCGTTCTCGCAGGATTGGCTAATCAATACTGCGGGCGCCAATTGGTCTAGTGCAATGCATGTCGGAGTTACCGTGCGAGAATGTTCGCGTCGCTGACCTCTCGACGAGAGACCGAGTTGCGATGACTGACTTATTTTGCGGTGGCTCTCTAGCGTTGACTCTCATCAGAGAATCAAGATGAATTCAGCGGATGCAGACTGTTCAAGCCGACTTTGATGGACGGCCTTACAGACTGACCAGCTCAGGCCAATGCAAGCATTGATTTTGTTGAAACTGCAGCGTCTGAGTTGGGTCATATCGTCGGCTGACCCGAGGCACTCAGTTTGGTCCTGGATACGACGCTTCACAAGTTTGAGCACTTATGACTAAAACTGACAGGTTATTGGGTTACTTATTTACCTACTCTGAATTATGAAATTGATAATTGTCTGCATTTTCCGCATCAGTCATCTGACCTCACCTCCAGGAGTGAGACAGCATTTATTTTGGTCGCTTGTGTCCTTAAATTTATACAGAAAATGTGGTTGTGCGAAATCCATCTTGTCACGGTTATTGGCAGGTTGTTATGATTTTCTCCCCATAACAACCCGCCCGGCGACAACAATCGATGTATGTTTTTGTGAGCAGGCTATCATTGAGCTGTCATTGAGAGCGAACATCCCAAACCCAAACCCTAAAAAAAGACTTTGTTCGGGGAATGTATGTACTCTGAACCATAGCGCCGGGCCGTCGAAACGCCGGACCGGGATGAAAAATGGCTCTTATCGAAAAGAGCATCTCGCGCTCATTTTGCTGATCGCTAGCTGTTGCTTCATTTCCGCCCTGAGAAAGCTTTATGAGGTTTGTATTTTATCCTGGTCTGCAATTTCCTGTACAGCATCAGATATCTTTCTCCAGAAGTCAAATAATGGATCGGTGAAGTCTTATTTAGTGACGCTTTCTTAAAATCAATATTTTGCTCTCTTTTTTAGCAGTTTGAGCGTCGGATATTGTAATGGTTAACTCGCGCACCGACGGGGGTCTGCGCCAACTTAGAACCGACGGGGGGGGGGGGGCTGAGATCTCGAGAACGAAGCAAGATAGCGACAAGCGGTAAACGGCATGGGGTACGCACTGACAAGGTGTACAATTTTTACGAAGATCATTTTCAGGTCAGGTCAAAGATGACATCATGGATCAAAAAAGTCAAAATGGCGGCGCTAGATATGGAGGGAGTTTTTCTCGAATAACTTTCGAATTGGTCCAGCTAGGAACAAAACTAAGGACACCATCTTGATACTCTCGTCAATTCGCATCGAACCATATATATGTTGACCTCGAAGGGTCAAGGTCAAAGGTTGACCTCAGGTCACGTGACCTCGAAATCATCATGTATACCTATCATTCGATGCGCCTTGACAAGCTGAACACAATGAGACCATCCGCGCGGCTGTATCTTGTTCCTGTAAGGAGTTATTGGCAAAACATCTTTGGTGACCTTTGATGACGTCACATGACCTTACAGCTGCCCAACAGCAAAACAGGCCTCAAGGTAGTGAAGGTTGATCGTATATGAAGTCATGTATGGTATATGGGACCATTCCGACGCGTTTTAGTGAAAAAAAAACAGGGAGTTTATTTTCCCCATTGACTTATAATGGGGAGTTCGAGAAATTGATCTGACCTTAGGTCATCGATATCAAAATTCCGAGATATTCAAATTGTAGCTACCAATCGCTTAACAACATCCTCCGAGTCTCAAAGGATTCCGTCATCTACTGTAGCCCTGACACGGTGACAAAGTAGCAAAAAAAAGTGAATTGAGGTTGGGTCATTCAAAGTGACCTGGTGACCTGACCTTAAAAGTTAAGAGGTTCAATCTTGCACACCATATGTAAAATTGATGACAGAATAGTCGTACCAAATTTCGCGGCGCTATGCGCCGCGGGTTTTCCGCTATTCGTGAAAAACCTCAGGGGGGGGGGGGGCGGATATCCGCCCCCCGTCGGTGCGCGGGTTAAAGGTAGTGTGCCACCTTTGAAAGATTTCCCATTTTATTTTTCCTAGGATAAGAAGCTTCTGTTTTTACCTAATATCGCAAAAAAAAATCAAAAATGGGCCTGGAATAGTGCCTTTTTCGCCTAAAAGTTTATCGGTTTTTCGATATGTATAACAACTGTAGTGGGCTGAGCTGCAAACAGGCGTCAGCAACAATCGCGAATGCGGCGCACATGTGACAATAAGCAAAGGTCATTATAGAGTTACGACGTACGGGAATGAGTTATCAGCTGTCTAATCGTAGACAACACAATGTCGAGCCTTAACCCTCGCCGGACCTATTGGTTTTCTACATACGCGCCGGCCGAGGGGGGGGGGGAGGCGGGTACGACCCCCCCTCGCCGTTTCGCCCCTGGTGGAGCTAGCGCGTCGCGGAAAAAACGAGCGTGTGCGCCGTTACGAGACGCAGAGATTGGTACCCGATTTTAAGGTCCTAGGTCAACCTGTGACCTCTGAGGTCAGGTCAAGTGCCCCAAGGTACGGTTCAGTTTTTGGTGAATAACTTCGCAAAAAACGGCCGCAGAGCGCCGACATAGACATAGACATAGACATAGACGTGTATTGAAGCCATCCACGATATACTCGTGGCTATTACGGCCGCTCGTACAGGGCTAAAACTCTGCATGGGAGACATAACATAAAATAACGTGATAAATACGCTCAAAGCACGTACACACAAACAAACATACACATGCACTCATACAGACTCATGGCCGCTGTCTAAGTCACCTCGCCTCCCCGTAGGTGGGATTGGAGGTGCCGACCAAATAGGTGGGCCGGTAGACGCGTCAGTTCTGACGGGAGCTGGTTGTAGGCGAGGGGCGCCCGGCAGCAGAACCGGCGCTGCCCCATCGCTGACCGCGATCGTGGGACTGACAGATTGCGGTCCTGTCTGGTGGATCGCTGCCGCGTCTGCGATACCAGCACCAGCTGGGCAGCCAGGGTTTCTGGCTCGCCTGATCGCCGCACCTTGTGCAGCAGGCACAGAGAGTGATACTGAGCAAGCTGCTCAGCGCTGAGCCAGCCCAAGTTATCCAGCAGGTCCGATACATGGTCGTACTTTTTGCGGCCGAAAATCACCTTTGCAGCATAGTTAATTATTTTTTGGAGCCGAGATAGGTTTGTCTGCGTGCAGTTGCCGTATACTGAGATGCAGTATCGGACCTGCGAGAGAACGAGGGCTTGGACGATGACGGTGACAGCCGATGGTGGGAGGTGGTTCCTTAGATGTGATAGACCATGAAGGGTTCCGAAACAGCGGTTTGTGAGAGAAGAAATGTGACTAGTCCAGCTGAGCGTGCTATCGAATGTTAAACCGAGATTTCTAACTTCCGAGACAGGGAGTAAATCATGATCGCGGAATTTGACAGAGAGGCCGGGAACGTTGCGCAGATTTTGAGAGCTTCCCAACAACATCAGCTGAGTTTTTCCTGCGTTAACTTTGAGGCCGTTGGCCTGGAACCAAAGGTCGATGGAAGTCAGCACTGCTTCCATCTTCCTGACCACGCTTTGCATGTCAGATTTTTTGCCAGAGACCAGAATTTGTGTGTCATCGGCGTACTGTGCTACCACTGCGTCTCCGGTGAACAAGGATAAGTCGTTCGCGAAGACGCAGTAGAGCAGAGGGCCGAGAGCAGAACCTTGGAAGACGCCGATGTTGTTGGGAAGAGGAGATGACTTTTTGATGTTACCCAGATTGTCTGTGAAGCAGACGCTCTGTTATTTTGGCAGCATCCGATTTTGGCAGCATCGTGATCGTCTCGTTCAGGCGCGTCGAATGATATACTTTTTATCCGGGTCAGGTCAACTTGGGGTGTTGACCTCAGGTCAAGGTCAGGTCAGCACCCCCAGGTCACGAAGTTGGTCGAAAGAGGTCATGTCGCATATCATTCGATTCGGCAGGTCTTCCTGAGTCCATTGGTGGCTTTTCCGACTCGCTAGCTCAATTTGATCAAGAGTTATTGACGAAAAACTAATATGACCTTGATGACGTCATAAATGACGTCACGCAAGGTCAACATTGCAAAAGTGACGCATCTAACCTTGCAAGGAGTGCATCAAATCACGATTCTGTGTGCTTGAGATAGTTGGAGATCGTTCCCGGCGCCAGAATAGCAGTTTTTATTTTTCCCCATTGACTTATAATGGTGAGGTCACGAAAATGACCTGACCTCATATGACCTTTAGGAAAAATCCGAGATATACAAGTTGTGGGACTCATAATGGATACTAGATCCTGCAAGTTTCATTTCCCTGTGACATCTCCTCTGGCAGTGAGGGCGTTGCGAAGTTGCGACATCTGAAGACCGTGCAGAGGTTCACTTATGACGTCATAGGTCAGTGACCTGACCTGACCCAAAAATGCGGTTGGTGTCAAAAGATGCGGCTTGGATCAAAGGTCAGGTATGCCAAGTTTCAGCTCTCTATCGCCAGCGTGTTCGGAGCTATCGCGAAAAAAAACCCTATGGGGGGGGGCGGCACCCGCCCCCCCCCTCGGCCGGCGAGGGTTAAACTGTAAGCCTGTATTGGTATTGTTTCTTTTATTTGGCTGTCGAACATTATTCATGGTTTGAAATATGATTTTATGTAAAATAATTGATATGAAAAAGCCGTCTCTTAAGTTATGACCCTATTTCACCACACGCAAGTGGCAGAAATGACAATGATCAGCTGACGCATTTTTCTTGGCCGAAGTCAGAGCGCGCGGCCCGACGCACCACCACCGCACCACAAAGTATGAGCAGAAGCCGCGCCCAAAGCCAGGGCCCCGGTAACGTGAGGTAGCCGAGTCGGGGCAGCGTGCGCTGACCCAAGCCGGGGCCGCAGCTTTGGGCGCGGTCTACCGCATCCCCGCGGGCAGCCCCGGGCTATCACATGACACCGGGAGGACGCGCGGCCCCGGCTTGGGTCAGCGCACGCTGCCCCGACTCGGCTACCTCACGTTACCGGGGCCCTGGCTTTGGGCGCGGTCTGCCGCACCACCTAACAGGCGTGTTCGAAACCGCAGGAGATGATGATGAACGGGTTTATCGAAACTTGATTGGATGAGTATATCGGTAATAGCGATTTCAGTGTGTGCATTTATTGTTCATAGTGTTGTGAAATGTGGTTGGGGTACGACCGACAACCCGTCGGGGCGAATTTCGCACTGGGGTACTCAAAATTTGAAGAATTTAAGACGTTTCCATGAGTTTTGAAGGTATGGATAAGTTCTAAAAATCCGGTTCTCCTCATCTGAGCCATTAACTCCATACGGTCCAGGAAAGCTGGCACACTACCTTTAAGGCGCTTATGTGAGCGTCATTGAGAAGCGATTGGTTATTCGTGTATAGCCAATGCTCCTAAAATATAGGCACCTCTTATATCAACAACGCATGCATATGCACTGCAGCTCCATACCTCACCAGTAACCCTTTTCGAGCCACCAGTTGACCTCGTTTTACCTATTTCTCGTTGCCCACCAGGGTCCGTTCGTCCACATCGCCAGCATCGTGGCCACCCTGCTCACCCGCATGGTAACCTCCTTCAAAGGAATCTACGAGAACGAGAGCAGGAACAGCGAGATGCTGGCGGCGGCCTGCGCCGTGGGCGTGGCCTGCAGCTTCGCGGCTCCAATCGGAGGTCAGTGCCCTCTTGTCTGTTTTTTTTTTTTTAATCAATGTTTATTGCTAAAACACAGATTGGGACATAGACATTTGACACACAGACACGTAGACGCTTATTGAGGTGTTCAAGAGGGCTATGGCTATTACAAACCACCTCTCGCCAACGATATAAAGTAATGGGTGAAAGATCGGTTCGATTGATTGAGGTTGATTGAGGTTGAACGTGTGGCGTTTCTGGGCCGTAGACGATGTTTTCCTCACTCATTTGGTGGCATTTGAAGTGCAGTAGGAACGTCATATGCGTGAACACGACTGTGCTTTATGTGACTGCTTCTTTATACCGCTGAGTGTGAAGCGGATCGGTTATAACTACCTCTGTGTTTATTGGGCGATCGGGTGTTGGACTGGCGCCATCATCTGACAAAAAGCGAGACTGGGATGCCAAATGAATGTTCAGGGGTATCGTGAGCAACGGTGCCGCTCAATCGCTTACACTGGCTCTGGCATTCACTCGTCGGGGACTAACAGAGGTAAGGAACTGCCAATCCTCCATTCTCGATCCGGAGTAAGGCAAGGATCAAAAGCCGACTTTACAGTCATTCAGGCAGCCATTCGGCGTCCAAATCGGAATCCAATACCGGATCGGATACGAGGCGTATGAAAGCAGTCGTGCGATTTGCCAGACGTAGCCACGGCATGCTCTCTGACCAAATTCGCTAGAAACACTATGGAAGTACGTATAAGTGGTGTCTGGATATCGCCTCTCAGACATGGTCGGTTAGGTGAATAGCTGAGAAATATGTAAGACAGATCTGGCATGGGAATTAATGTGACTCGATGGAATGAACCTATAACAGAATTCTACTCTTGAGAATGAATCTAAAAAGCTTATAAAAAAATCTAGTTGTATTTGTGTCGCCTCTCCTTAGTCTGATTATAAATCAGCGTGTGGCAGTAAGGCACATGCAATACTCAAGGCTAAGTTATATACGACCGCTCTTCAAGCACCATTCACTTCCATCCTCTCTTGTTTTGCAGCAAGATGCAGTGAACGATGTTCGTTATTAGAGTTAGAAACTGGCATGTGATTAGTGCAACATTTGAGGGTATCAAATTACACCTCGTACTTTAACCTTGCAGGCGGTGGGGGGGGGGGGTGCATTCCCCCCCCCCCCGCCCCTTTAGTTTTTTTCCATATATGTCCAGAACCGCTGCGTCGATCGTCACCAAACTTTCAGTACCCTCCCGAGAATAGCTTTTGCACATCGTGACCAAATTTTTTCCAGAGGTTGGCCGCTAATGACGTCGGAATGACGTCATTTCTGCCATTTTCGACCAAAAAAAGGTTTCGCAGGAAGAGCTGTCAGGCCTACATACAGCTTTAGAGATGCGTAAAAATGTTTAATACATAAAAGGTGTAGAATTGACAGGGCTACAAAACTCTCATCTCGTATTTTTGAATTTTTTGTATTTTGACATTTTTTAAAAATATAATAGCCCAAAACTCAAAAAAGTTTTTTGAATAAAAATACGGAATATATGTGATAGTCCCTACCGCCTTCTATCCACATACCAAATCTGACATCGATCCCTCTTTTTTGGCCAAATTATAGCGAAAAAAAAAATGTTCAAAATTGATGACGTCAAATCAAACTTTAATTCAATTCAAACTCAATTTTTAGCAATTCTAGACCTCGTAGCGCAAAACAAAGAACACCATTAGATTCGCCGTGACAAGCTGCATCGAATCAATACCCATTTTATGCAAAACTATCAGTTTTGAAATTTGACCTTTTTTGACCTAACCTTGACCTGACCTCCACCAGAAAGTGACCTAAACCGTACCTGATGGTCTTATACCAACACCATACCAACACCATTGAGTTGGAAATGTAAAAAAATGGCCATAAAACATGCATCGCACAACCTTGTAAAGTTGGGTTCATGTGATGACCCTTGGTGACCTGGCGGTGGCCCGTGATCTGACCTGGTATTGTCAGTGACCTCTTATAGCAACATATGTACTAGGCAACTGACGCCCTATCGCTGATTTTCGACAAAATGCGTTTTTCTCGGTGTTTTAGCGCATTCCCTAGAAGACCCGTGAACGGTGAAACATTTTATCTTTGACCTGACCTGTGACGTCATCGGTGACCCTGAGGTCAATGAAATTTGGTTTCCTTCGACAAATTTGACAGAGCTATCTAACGCCGTTTGAATTTTACGGATCCGTCCTTTAGTTTCGGAGATACGGGGGGGAAGCCCCCCCCCCCCCCCCCCCACACACACACCGCGCGGAAGGTGGCCGGGAGGCCCACCGCCTGCGGGGTTAAGCCTTGCTCGTTCACTTTATGTTGACTGTGGTTTACTTGGCAGCCTTGCCATGTTTGTTTGTGGCCCTCACATATGGTGGCCCGGGGGTGCTCGGGGCGGTCGGAAAAAAGCTGCGGACGACGGGACTCGTCGGCTCTGGCATAGGTCCGAGTCCTCCGACGGGAGGGTACAGGAATAGAACAGAACTGAACCGCGGACGTGAATGGATTCTCCACCGTGAATGTGCATAATTTCAGTATACCAAAACTCACCATTTTAACGTAATGGGAGAATGGCGTTGATGACACGCTTTTTACACACCTGCGTTCTATATTTTAAACCTTTTTCTTTGGAAACATGTCATTCCATTTTATGAGGAGAAAAATTAACTGTGCTTGCTTTAATCATATTTATATAAAATGCTTTCATTATCATTATATATTACTGAACGGCCCTAGGAAAGAAAAATGGAAACCGAGGTCTTTAATGTAGATTTTGGGTCACGCAGTGCATCGTAAGTCAAATGAGGTTTCTTTACAGTCATGTTGAGTGCTTACAGCTTATATATGCGCAACTATGTAATTTTATAGTGTAATGTCACAGCGATGCAAATAAAAGACATAGACAATTTTGATAATGCAAGACCTTCATATGTCAAACCGTTATCATTCTAGCCCTAACAAACCACAAAGTGAGTTGCAAAAGGCCGACCGAATCTGTTTCCGTGCTGTTTCTGGGTCCTGTGTATATCTCCGAGATATGGGTACCTTGTTATAAAAGGTCATAATTATCTGAAAAATCCACTCTTCCAAGACATTTATGTAAACTAGTCTGATAGAGAGCTTGCTAATGATCCGCCGAATTGAATGATATGTGCGTGTGTCATGTCATATGTTCCGTGTCATTCGCATTGGTGGCTCAGACAGGCGCTTCTTTTCGCAATTTTCTATTTTGCAACGAATGACTCCTCTCAACTACTCTCAGAGAAGGCCGGCGACTCGAACCCGACCCGCGTGACTACATAGTTTTGAAGAAGCACACAAATAAGCATATCGCATTTCCTATCAACAGACGCCAGTCAGGCCGATGACTGCGTCGCTTACTGTTATCGGCAAACCGGGCGAGGTACTTAAGAAACTAGAACTCAATGCCTGGCATCCGTCAATAGGCTGAGCAGGCCCTGTCTCGTTTCTGCGTGCGTTCGGCCCGCCAGGGGAGGCGAGGGGATGGGGCGGCGCGGATAGGTCGGCCGTCCGGGCCGCACGGGGCGCAGTGCCGGGGCGGGAGCGGACCAGGACGGTGCCAGACGCCGACAGAGGGGACCACCGCCGACCCGGCTCGCGTCTGTGACTCAGCGGGTAGCCAGTCGGCCGCTGACCGCTGCGGGGAGAGTCCGTGTGCCAGCGAGCGCAGTGCAGTGCACCATGGGCCAGGAGACGTGCGACCCGACTCCGCCGCCGGCGGTGCCCTGTGAAGAGGGCCTGCTGGCGAGTGACTCTCCAGACGAGACCAGCGACGCCAGGCCGGCCGCCGAGAGCACATGGCGGCGTCTCGTCCCTCCGGAGATGGCCAACCTGGGAGTCACCGGCGGGAAGACTGGCTCGGCGTCCTCGGATCTCGACAGCGAGGCCACTGCGATAATCGCTCCCGCCCCCGGCAGCTCCAAGCTCAGCGGCCGGCAACGGCGCATTCTCGGTAGCCTCTCTGTGGGAGGTCTGCTGGCCGGCTGCTGCATCGCCGTCATGATCCCCTTCTTCCCGCACGAGGCGCACCGGCGCAACCTGCCGCAGACCTACTCGGGCGCCGTGTTCAGCTGCTACGCGCTCTCGCAGCTGCTGGCGTTCCCGGTGATGGGTCGCGTGGCGCCTGTGCTCGGCGTGACGCGGCTCTACAACATCGGTCTGGCGGTGGCCGGCGCCGCCACGGTGGCGTTCGGAATGCTGCCGATCATCCAGGACTCGATGGCGTTCATCGCGGCCTGTCTGACGTGTCGCGCTCTGGAGGCGGTCGGAACGGCGGCCATGCACACGGCGGCCAGAGCGATCATCATCAACCAGTTCCCCGATAACCCGAACACGGCTATGAGCGTGTCGGAGACCCTGGTGGGCGTGGGCCTGTCGCTGGGCCCTGCGCTCGGCGGCGGTCTGTACCACGTGGCCGGCTACGGGGCGCCGTTCTACGTCCTCGGCTGCGGGCTGCTTGTCACAGCGTTTGCCAACCGTTGGATGATGCCTGTCGTCGAGGACAACTCGACGGGGCCGGAGGATAGGGAGGCGGCTCGCCGCGGCCCGCCCGGCGCGCGGCTGCTCCGCTTCTTCAGCGCCGCCGAGAACTGGATATGCTGCTCGGCAGTGCTGGTGGTAGCCATGTATCTGACCGCTCTCGACCCCAACATCGAGCCGTACGTGCGCGTGGCGCTCGGCATCACACCGGCCCAGCTGGGTCTCTTCTTCCTCGTCTCGTCCAGCTGCTACACGGTCTCGAGCCTGATCTGGGGCCGCATCTCGGACCGCGTGCCCAACACGTACGCCCTGACGGCGCCCTGTCTGCTGGTCGCGGCGCTAGGCATCCTGCTGATCCCGCCGTCCCCGCTGCTGGCCGGCCTGCAGCCCGCCTGGTATCTGCTCGGACTGGGCATGGTGATCCGCGAGACGGCTATCGGCGGCGCCTACATCCCCATCATGAGCCGGATGGTGCGCGTGT